ATCACTTCAGAACCACTCACGCGTACATGCTGCCGATATGTTAACATACGTTTGATGACAACAGAAGTACGCGTACTCTGCCAGATTTACAGAAACCGCTGAGCGCGTAAAAAGCCCACGGGACAAGCAGCCACTCTGTTAATGGAATTGTGGGAGGTAAAACGATCGAGGTAGCCTTTGAAGCAACGAGCAGCATATCGTATGGTGCCTTTATGCAAAAGCGTAAAGTGCCGATAGACTGTGTTGTGTGCAGAGAATTTCGCATATATTGAAACCCAACGTTTGAGTACGTGATCGAACGAGATCTAACCTATGAGAAAATGGAAAGGCGTAAGAAAAGCCAGAAAACTACAAGCGCATTCCATTTTGAGAGTAAAAAAAAAAGCAGTTGACAAAATCGAACCCGTGATGGTGTCTTTGTAGCAGAAAATCACATAATTTTACGGGTAAGCAACATGAAAACAAACAGACGGATATTTCGTGATGCTATATATGATGTCCAGAAAAATTATTGCATGTGGCAAAACATGCGTATAACATCCTCCGCAGCAAAACAAGCTCGTGTTCAGAGGTGCATGCCGCTTGAATTAAGAAATGACTCCTCGCACGAGTATATATATATTATGCAGCGATTTTTGAGAAAAGCCTAATGCGAGTGCTGGGTGGAAGACGAAGAAAAACGATGGTACTGGCAAGAATGCCCGTACGATGGCACGGAATGTTCAAACCGGAAGTCGATGCCGACGGACGCCATAGCCAACAATTATTTGCGTGAGCCACGATTTTGATATCCAATTTATTCGATTTTTTTCTCGTTTTCATTGATATACTTTTACGATATGTTTTAAAGCTTACCGGCCAATCCGCAAGTTCGAGTTGTTAAAGGAGCCCCGCCATCACTTGTGACTTTTATCCCCAAAGCAGGCAAGGCCGTGAATACGGAAAATCTGAGGCCCATATCACTGACTTCGTGCGCGGGCAAGCTTATGGAGACGATGGTACGGGATCGCTTCTCCCCATACTTTGAGGGCAAGGGCTTCTTTGCAGACACCATGTTTGGGTTTCGCCCACACATGTCTGCACAGGACGTCCTTCTCCAGCTCCATAGGGCCGTCATACAGCCCATAAGTATGCAACACAATGATAAAGCCATCCTCGCCCTTGATCTGAAGGGGGCTTTCGACAATGTTAAACACAGCAGCATCCTGGCTAACTTGAGCTCCACTGATTGTGGGGCTAAGGCCTTTGCATATGTCAGAGATTTTCTCTCTAAACGCCAGGCACTTCTTCGGATCGAGGACGAGGAATATGGCCCGTACATTATGGGAACACGGGGTACCCCACAGGGAGCAGTGTTATCACCACTCCTTTTCAACATTGCTATGATGCGCCTTCCAAGCGAATTGGCCAGGGTGGAAGGCACACAACACGCAGTATATGCCGACGATATTACAATCTGGACCACTGAAGGGAGCCTTGGTGAAATGCAGGAACGCCTTCAGCAGGCCGCATCCATAGTCGAGGCGTATGCCAACGATTGTGGACTCCAATGTGCTCCAAACAAATCAGAGCTTCTGCACGTTAGAGCGAAGCCAAGAGATAAGCCAGCCATACACATCTTCCTGTCTGGGGTTCCCATCAGAGAGGTGGAGGAGCTCCGGATTCTGGGCCTGTTCATTCACCACAGACTCAGACCGGACTCCACTATAGCGAAACTCAAGAGAATAGGCGAACAGGTAGGGCGCATGATCCACCGCGTTTCCAACAAGCGGGGTGGTCTGCGGGGCAGGGACGCGCTTCGGCTCGCGCATGCCTTCGTGACTAGCCGGATCCTCTACGCCGTCCATACCTTCGCACTAACAAGCAAGAAGACGAAAGAATAGATGCCATCATTCGTAAGGCTACTAAACGAGCTCTGGATCTCCCGGTGGCCACTTCCAACGCCAAACTGAAGGCTTTAGGTGTGCTCAACTCCTACCAGGAGTTGTGGGAGGCCCACCTTATGAATCAATATACGCGGCTCGTGCAGACGGCTCCCGGGCGCCGCCTGCTAAACCGCTTACATATACAGCACACTTGCACTGCAGAGGAGGCGGAGCGTATTCCGGAACTGTGGCGGCATATGCTCTCGGTCGCTCCACTCCCCAGTAACATGGATAAGCACACGCACGAAAGCAGAAGACAGGCGCGGGCTCGGACGCCCGAGAGGCAACACGGCTCCCGACCTGGTGTATTCTACGTAGATATAGCAGGGCCTTCGCCCACGGGATTTTACACGGCCTCTGTAGTTCACCGGGAAAAGCATGTCAATGGGCTCTCGTTCCGAGCACAAAATCCAGAGCGCGCTGAGGAAGTCGCGATAGCGCTTGCTGCTGCGGACCCCAACTCGAAAGTTATCATCATGGACTCCAGGAAAGCATGTACTCATTACTTGGTAGGAGAGATATCCCCCCTAGCCAGCCAAATTCTAAAACGGGCTCTCGCTGATCCAGCCCCGAAACGCATCGCATGGGCTCCTGGCCATCAGGGCCTACGAGATAATGAGGCCGCTGACGCGGCCGCCCGAGCGCTTACCCACCGGGCTCCTCACCTTGGCTCTTATGACTCGGAGGCCAATACACCGCTGCTGCGGTTCAAAGAAATTCTCACCTATTATCGTGACACTCACCGCCTTTACCCGGCTCCTGCAAAGGGGCTGAGTAAGGCGGAAGAGCGAACTCTAAGGCGCCTGCAGACAGGTACTCTACTCTGTCCTGCAATCCTAAAGCATTTCGATGCGAACACAGATGGGCGGTGCGCACACTGTGGGGAGACGTGTGATATCTTCCACATGGTATGGGCATGTCCGAAAAATCCCCACCTACCCCCTTCCCCTACCCCTTCCCGAGAGGCATGGGAGACTGCCCTCCTCAACTGCTCATCACTAGAGTCTCAACGGGCTCTGGTGAGACGGGCGCGAGTAGGGGCCTCGTCATGCGGTGTCCCGGACTAAGGACGCCGACCATGTAGCAGGGTCATGCTTTGGCCCGTACCTCCCTCTTTTATAATAAATGTTTTTCATCATCATCACCGCTATCAAATTACAAGATCGAGATGTGCCCATCATTTGATCGCTTGGTATGCATAGGTCTTCTTGACCCAAATTGATCGGCATCCGTGGCAAGGAAGTGAAGTAAGTTCGATGTCGAACAGCGTAGAAAAGGCAAGCAGAAAAAAAATGAAAAATAGACTGCCCTGCGACATCGACACTACTAGTGCTACGTGTTCAGTGTGATACATTCCACAAATACCATCCTGATTGACGATGCGCTAGTAGCGATGACGTGTGTGATCCGAGTGTTCCTATTGTGGTGACGACTGGCACTGAAGCGCAGAGACGCACTCGCTCGTCGCGTCTGATCTTCGGGGCACCGGATTGAATGATATCAAAGAACGGCGGAAAAAAAAGAGCACAATTAAACGTGTGCTTGTCGGTCAGCATGGGGGGTAATCGTTGTGAGTTGCAAATGAGTTGCAGTCGTGTAGATGGAGGAACGAAAAAAGCGCAGTGAAGGTGTCTTTTCATATCACGTATGTGTTACACATCAACACGACCACAAGCTATCAAAAGTGGAACAGCATATAGTCAGATATCATCGCTAACATGTAACACGCAGGTATCGTTGAATTTTAGTTCATCTGTGGACTTTGCGCCCACGTAAAAGTGGTAATATCGTGTTGATAGCGCGAGGCTGGCTAGGTGTGGCCATCTGGAGGCGCAAAAAAAATTACGGCATATTCACGGGGTGAATGATGATGAATGGGCGAAGCTCCGGAGGGATTCATCAGTAAACTGTGAATCTTCCGTGTAATTCACCCAGTCGATCATCATGTAAAGACGTGAGAAACGCTGTGTGTGTATATACACAAATCAACTTTTATTTGTTCTTAGACGATAAATGGCTTGCGATGTCCCTTGCCTCGCGCGCTCGCACATCGGGATTCTGTCTGCGAGCGCGCGCTGCTGCCCCCTTGCGCTCTCTCCGCTGTGCAGCCTTATCCATCCGGCGACTCCGAGCGCGCGCCAACAGCGAACGGATTTTATTACAACGCTCCCCCTAGCGTACGTCGCCGCACTAAATCGAACGATTGCCTTCAACCAATGACACGCGCCATATGTGACATCATTCCTATTTTATAAGATCTCGCGTCTTTCATCAACTACAAGTACCGCTTTCTAGTTTATAACATCTTGCATCTTTTCATCATCAGCTACAAGTAGCATCATCTAGTGAACACTGCAAGAACTAAACTAGAGGTGGCTACATACAGGCTACAGGGGACGCACAGCCCACGCCCTAAGGAGCTTCGCCCCTAAAAAAAAAAAAAAAAAGAACCTGGCAAACAGGAAACGTATTTTATTTCTCCGCTGACGCTAATTCGCGATAACTGTATTGCATTGAACCCTCTCAGTATACCTGAGTGTTTTGCGTGCTAAAACACATCAATATAGCTAACTGAGACGCACGAGCGAACATTGCTGAAGCGTGCATCCCCTGGCACCTCTGCAGTGCTGCTTGGAATGGCGTTAGTTTCGGAATCACTGTTCTGTAAAAGGTCGATTGAAGCAAAAATAATTCGCGAATCGCGGGGATTCCAAGCTCCGGACTATCGTATAGAACCCGAGTCGACACTTCGTACGGCAACGACAGCAATGCAGGTGACAAGGCATGACTAAATGTTTCCGCTTAGCAGACGAAATGTCTGCGGAGCAGCTGAGCCTGACGTCACTCTTTTCTGTGGAGAAGTGGTCGGCTGTGGCGTGATCTGGAAGTGACCGCGAGGTAGCGCCAGTGCTGGTGCTCCAAGCGCTGGAAATGACAGGATCGCCGGCTGTTTTCAATAGCGCTAGATACCAGGACAATAAATCAGTAAAAGTAATAGATATTCATCCCTCAGTTGCCTTTTAGGTCGCGAATCGCTGCTACGGGGTCTATAGATACTCGCTGACGCAAAAATTTTGGCATGAGTCTCGATGGCAGTGCTCCTTTAAGGCATCTACTGAGAAAACAGGCAACCAGGTGTCGCTCAATTTGAAAACGAAACCTGTCCACCCTTCGGTGACCGGACACCCAATAATGGATGATGGCGACCCGAAGGGCCCATCTACCAATATCTCTCGATGCAGCGACAGCGGACGCGGGTCGTGAGCTGTTCGAAGGCTGCCGAAACGGTGATGTGACCCGTGTGAAGAAGCTGGTAACGCCACACAATGTCAACTCGCGGGATACGACTGGAAGGAAGTCGACCCCTCTTCACTTCGCTGCAGGTAGGCCTAATGATCTGCTGCTTGCCAGAACACCTGTCGCACGAGTAGTTATGGTCACTGCACAGTGATACATGGCTGCACGGTCGTTTTGAAGTGCCTTTCACTTGCAGATTTCCGCGTTTCGATAGCTGCAAAATCTGCAGTGAGCATTGGCATTTCGCTAGTGACAAGTTCTAGTTAATTTTCTGTATCATACTTTATGGACAGCTGAATTAACTTGATCCCGCTTATGTTACTGCAAATTGACGCTTTACACTGCATTGTGCTTCATATTCAGTGCTGTTGATCGAAAATTTCACATCGGACGTTTCTTTATTTCAGCTTGCCCTCGTGGTTAGAGATGACGTTTTATGTCCACTGTACTGTTTGAGAATGCTAGGTTTCATGATGTGAAACGAACGCGTGCATTGTTTTATTTTGCCGTTCGGCTTCATTAAGAGCAAGCAGAGCGCTAGAAAGCGACCGACATTGGCGGCTTTCTTGTGCGTTGTTCAGAAAAGTTAGTGCGGACTGCGAATCATCCGTTTTGAATGTTCACGGTGTAACACAGCGTTAACACTCGTACAAAAAAAAAAAAAAAAAAAGAAACAGTTTCGTGTAACATCCGTGCATTTGCGTTGTGTTGTACTCTTTCAGAACGGAAGTTAATGTGGTGCTCGTTTTGACGGGATTCATTAACGAAGGGCTAGGTGGTCGTACGGTTTGACGCCTTTTCAATGGCGACATTCGTGCCGTGGATATTCCGGATTAGCACTAGCACATGTAGCAGCATTGCACAAGCGTCTGAACCCTCTTGGTGGTGTGCTAGGCCAGTCAAGGGGCTCTACAAGTGTCTGCAATAGGCCACCGAAGGGCAAAGAAGCACAAAAAACAACAAAAAGCTGCCCAGGTGAAGGCATGTTGTGAGGATGTAGGGAGCTGCTCAGTTGTTGCACTGCGATGGTCGAGGAGCTATGATAATGGAGAGACTTATCAGGGCTTTGCACAGTTGGCCACAAAAGTTCACAGATCAGGCAAGGGCATTCTAAACTGCCTGTCTGTGCTACTTAGCAGTGCACCACCTATTGTCAACCGCATCGCTGGCCCAGAAACCTGTCTTGTTGTGCCCTTGTACATCAATTTTCTACTGCAGCGCAGTGTATTGTTAGTTCTTAGTGCAAAGTGCTTACCTGTGGCATCAGCGTCATGCTTCTATTTTCACAGCAGAATCCAAGCCATAATGGCATGTTTCGAACATTCTGCCACAGGGAAGATATCGGTTTGTGACAAAGATTTTCGACTCGTAGCAGTTTTGCCGATAGATTGCTCTCGAAACAGAAGCATCTGGTGACGACTGTGAAAGAGTGGTTCGTTGTGAAAAGTGGAAAATATCTGTGCCCAGTGAAAAAATAGTCAGGCCATCAAGTAAGGAAGGGATGCATCTTGGGCGTGGCGCATTTGTTGATCGCCACTGATGTAGTGAACTGCTGCGATGAGGCTTTTGGCCACATGCTTGAGTGGTCCATAAACTTTTGTTGTGGACCGTACATACTATAAGCAGCATTCCTGTTGAGCCTCTCGGATAGGACATTAAACATTGTGCAAACCTTTTTGGTACTATGGTGTTGTTGGTGGAACTATTGGGTGACATGGGCAATGAAAATTGCATTAAATTTCTAATGCCTTAAGATTTAATACCATTGGCATGGTGCCACATCGAAAAACGTAACTTCATTTGCGTAATGCTATTCGTGACCCAATGCGTTTTCCAGAACTCGTTCAACTGCAATATGGTACTCTCGCCGCCATAGCTCGTTCAGTGTAATATAGGTGAATAATATTGCTGTCTATAATGGAGAAAATATTTAATGCATGACTTAACAAATCTCTTATTTATAAATAGTGATATGTTATAGGGTTAAAGCAATGGTTAAATTTAGCATGCTAGGTACCATGTGTGCCACATTAACTGGTAAGGTAAATTTGAACAAGTGGGAGCTCTCTTAAAAAAAGTAGTTCGGGAACTTGAAGGGGCCGTGCTACAGTTTTAGAACATTGACAGAAAATGCTGCTGATTGGTAGTCTAGGCATCTATGAACTTGTGAGCGAAACATTGTAGTGCAGCACGTGGGATGGATTTTACAATGAAATTTCAAAGCCAGCTAGAAATTGCTCATTCTTCTCTCAACAAATAATGACATATGCAGTCATGTAACCGAATGCACATATACACGGCCATTTGGTGATTTGAGTATTGTAAGCTGCTGTAGATGGGACACACCTACGCCGGACTCTACAGTGCTAGAATTACACCAGTGTGAGCCACCGGTTCAAAGAGAAGTGCTGAAAAAATATGCAGCAGCTGTTTCTGTGCACAGCCGAGCCCATTTGTTGTGGTCATGTGTGACAAGGGGCGAGACAGCATCGTCGCATTGTTTAAATCAAAGATGCCTGTGTTTAACAAGCTTTGTTTAACATAGGTGTAGCAAAGAATGTTCAAAAGCTGCCAGAAATTTTTCTGTTTTGCTGGCATTTATATACATGTACACATACAAACACACACACAAACATACGTTAGGTATAGTTGAACCCCCTTCCCCCCCAACCTCAAAAAAAATTTTTGGCTACGCTCCTGCCATCCAAGAGTGTGTTGCATATAGTTGACATTAGCAAGCTTTACTTTTGTGGTCTTTACCTGATGTTTGCTGCCCGTTTCACTGATGTAATTATGTTGCTGTGCAATCCTCATGTTTTACTTGGAGATGATCTTGCACTGATAATGCGTAGGTGTGTGTTCTTAGGATTTCATGAACACGTGTCCCAGTGGTATGTATGCTATGTGGATACAAATTTTTTAAACAGGTCTGGTACACCTTGGGGAACATAGGGAATGAACATAAATGGTTAATGGTCTCCATCTTCACTCGTTATGCACTTACCATACCTTTTCATACGTCTTTATTAAACTAATTCTTTCACTTCACTTGTAATCCATGCTTTGCTTTGTACGGTAACAAATAAGTTACTTTTTATGGTGACTAACTGTAACAAGCTACATTTGCAAACTCAGTAACTGTGTTTAACAGAATTACATTCTTGACTTGGGTAAATGTAACTGTGACACTGCTACTTTTTACCCCTAACGTGCCCATGACTGGATGTTATTAGAAGTAATTATAGTCCAAATTTGAAGAAATAAAAAAGTGGATGAAAAGATAACTTGCCATCAGTCCGTGCCGGTGGCAAGTGGCCGTTTTGTGACTCTTCGGCGTGATGTACTTGTGCTGGTTCGTGTGAGCATGCGAGCGCCTAGCTCTCGGTCCGCGCAGCCCCATGCAGCGCAAGCAGCAAAAACAAAGTACATGCTCAGAACGATGTTGAGGTGGCACATGCCAAGCGTTGTCTGCTACTGAAATGCTCCTTCGCCCAAGCATGGCCACGCTGTCCTGGCAGGCCATGCTCGGCGTGTGAGAATAACTTGAGTGAATTCCAACTTATATATCGCTGCACTCAAGGATAAGGTTTCCTTGGGTTGAAACCTGGGTTAGCTGGTTCATCGCTGCTACAAGGGCAGAAACAGCCTAAAACATTTGACAGAAAACAAGACGAAAGAAAGGACAACACTGCTGTTTCTTCCCTTGTATAGCACTGCTGTGATCACTTGTTTGTCTTGTGCTCCGTGAAATTCTTCTCACTTTTTCTTCTGCTGAAGAATGAGGGCTGTGCAGCATGTTAACGGAGATTTCAAGCACTATAACGCTGTCAGTTCGAATGTCTTTCGTGTGGTTTATGTTTATGTTTGCTCCTGTAAAGCTTAAATGATTCATTGAAATCTGCATTTTGCATCTAATATTAAAAATAGAAATGCGTCTTGCATATTCTCGCCATTCCTTCGAATTGCTCGCCCACGACAGTGCTGCCACGTCCTTGCCGCGCAATAGCAAGACTCCTGACGGGCACTTACACTGCGCGGCTGGCAGCACGCTAGTTATGAAACGGGCGTTTTAGTAGCAGACCACTGAATTACAATTTACCATATGTAAATTGTAATTCAGTGGTTCAAAAGGCATCTGAAACAATTGGTAGCAGTTATATAGTTATCAACTTGCATTGTTTATAAGGAATGAGTGCTATTCTGAAACAGCTTGAACACCACAATTACACAGTATCTGTGACTATTTGCTGAGGTAATCAGGCAAGCCACATAAATTGTGCATTGAAAGTAGAACCTTTTTTATATTGAAGTAAATCTGAAACTGTCCTACTATGGGAGGTGTTGACATATAAAAAAATATTGCCAATTTAATGATCTTGTCTCTAGAATTGATTCATTGGGAACCTAGCCTGCTGCCATGATCAATATGTAGTGCTTTAAAATACTTACACACCACGAAGTGAAACTCTAGTGTATAGTGGAATGTGGGGCCAGAATGCCAGCTTACTGTCCTGCTCTCTAGTATGGCTGGTATACCTCAACTGCTGTTGTGGGCCACCTTTTTCTTGTGCCAGTTTGACCCATAGATTGATACCTTGATTCAGATTGTGGGTTAGGAACGCATTGATTCAACTCTTGCGCCAACTGTGCCAAATCATATTGTAACGGGCGGATGAAAATGACAAAGAGGACAGGGAGGAAAATGATGTGGAGAGACTCTGCGTGCGAACTGGGGCGCCATCTTGTTCATCACTGAATTCATTCTGTGTTTTGTAAAGTTATTCTCCCCGTAACATCACTGGTGGAAGGTGCGGGGTACTCGCTTCAAGCAAGACGGAGCTTCGTAGCGGGCGCCTAGTGGTCTACCCCATGGCGACTGAAGTCAATAATGCTGACCATTCCCCAACTACCGTGCTTTCTCCAACCACTTCCGTGCCTTCTCCAACTGGCCCATCAACCCTCATCTTGGAGCTCCCAAGAGATCCAGGTACCTTTTCCGGCATCGATGGTTTTGACGTATAAGCCTGCCGAAGTCATACGGGCGAGTGGGTGTCGTATGTGATGGGACCCAACGCTCGTGCTGGCC